CTAGCAGGTGCTAGAGTATTTAAAGAATACAGGGCTATAACTAGATATTAATAAGTATAAATTTAAGGTAAAAAGTATAAAGTATCTTAGATTTATTATTAAAGCTAGTAAGGGAGTATAGATAGACCCTACTAAGGTGAAGGCTATACTAGAATAATAGGTACTAACCTTAGTATATAGTATATAATTATTCCTAGGCTTTATAAACTTCTATTAATAGTTTATATAGGACTTCTTAGACATAGTATAACTATTAATAGTATTAATATATAAGGGGGCCCCTTTCCTATAGAGAGATAAGTAAGTAAAGGCCTTTAAGCTACTTAAGAAGATATTTACTATAGCCCTAATCCTTATATAATTTAACCCTAATAGGAGAATAGTAGTAGAGATAGATATATTAAACTAGGTAACTAGAGCTACTATATCCTAGTATAATAATAATAGTATACTAAGGCYAGTTGCCTATATCTCTAAGAAGAATATGCTAGTAGAGTATAATTATAAGATCTATAATAAGGAGTTACTAGCTATTATTAATACTCTTAAGGAGTAGGAGTTAGAATTAATTAGCTTACTATAATTTAAGCTTATTATAGACTATTATAATCTTAAGTACTTTAAGACAGTCTATAGACTTAATAAATAGTAGATATATTAGTTATATACCTTAAGCTAATTTAACTATAAGATATATTACTAGCCTAGAAAGCTAGCTGCTTAGCCTAATGCCCTCTTATAGAGGGAGTAAGATATATTATAAGATAAGAATAATAATAGGCTTAAGATGTATGACCACTGCTTAGTTCTATTAAAGGTTATTACTAGCTAGATATAGGTGAAAGTATTTCATACCTATAAAGTAGTGTCTAGCCTGGATATAAGGTTACTAGGTAAATATAATAATTAATATACTAAGTAGTCCTATTATATAGTCTCTAGTATAATATCTATAGGTAGAGCACCCTTGCCCCTAGAGGAATACTAGAAGGAGGCTATACTAAATAATATAAATCTATAAGAGATATATTAGGTGGTAGAGAAAGGGGCTATATAATTTCTAAAAGAGTTATATATTTAAGTATTAATTACTAAATATTTAATATTACTAGATAGTTACCTGCTATACTAGGACTATAAATAGGTCCCTAATTTAGAGCCTCTATAAATAAGGATCCTGTAAGGGATGTATAATTTAGTATTAATAAGCTACCCTAGGAAGAATATACTATACTTAATAATTATCTAGAACTTCTACTAGCCAGAGCTCTCTGCAGACATTTAATAATTTATACAGAACTATAATAAGTGTAGTGCTAACTATATATAGTATAAATAGTATTAGGGATTACTTAAGTTATTGCTAATCCTAGATTATAAGTAGTATAAGATTACTATTAACTTTATTATAAAGCTACCCACTTCTAATAGCTGTGAGGACATTATAATAATTAGTAATAGGCTTAGGAAGGGTGTGATCTTAGTGCCCTATAAATAAATAGACTCTAAGATAGTTACCTAACTACTAATTAATTAGTTTATTAGCTATCATGGTGTTCCTAGTGTGATTATATTAGACTATAGTCTATAGTTTATTAGTTAGTTCTAGGAGCACTTCTATAAATAACTAGGTATTTAATAATACCTTTTAATAGCCTTCCACCTATAGATAGATAGGCAGATTAAATAAATAAATATAATATTAGAGGCCTACCTTAGGAACTTCTATAGCTATGCTTAGACTAATTAGAAATTATTACTACTAATAGCCTAATTAGTAATTAATAGCTAAGATACTATAAGTATAGGAGTTAGCCTGTTCTTCCTAGACTATAGGTATAATATTAAGCTACTAGAGATTAAAGAGCTAGACTATAAGGTAGCTACTGCCTATATAGCCTATTTACTAAAGGTAAAAGCTAAAGTAATTATAATAAAGATAAGAGAAGCTACTAATATAGTATAGTTAGAACTAGCTATAGCCTAGTAGTATTAGGAAGAGTATTTAAACTACTTCTACTTAGTAGTCCTATAATATACTATAAAATTAAAAGTATAGTTAAACCTATAGAATGTTTAAATAGATTACCTAAGCTAGAAGCTTAATATATAGTATATAAAGTTCATAGTGCTTAAAGCTATTAGGTTATATGCTTACTAATTAGATACACTACTAGGTGTATATAATATATTCTATATTAGTCTACTATGCCCTACTGCTAGCAATCTATTCCTAAGCTAGTTAAATAGTAATTATTAGCTGCTGGCAACCCTAGTAGATGGTGAATCAGAGTATATAATTAAGGAGATCTTATAGGAATATAAGAAATAGGTTAGCTAAGGCTATTATAAAGAGTATCTTATTAAATAGGTAGGCTATAAGCAGCCTATATAAGAACTAGTTATTAACCTTACTAATATAGTAGTATTTAATATATAGGAGAGCTGCTAACCTCCTTCAGGAGGGGAGGAGGGTAGTATAGTAGGTAGGGCCTACTAAGTACTTAAGCCTACTAGGCACTTATAATCTACCTTAGGTATTAATAAACTCTTATCTAGTAAGGACACCAGTAGTTACATGACCCTTATAGTAATTAATATAGTAATTAATCTAGTCATATAATCTTATCCATCATTTATATACTCCCTTTTATGTTCGGCCGTCACGGCCCTAGTTAGAACCCTTCAGCGATTTCTTACCATCCAAATCTAGGTCATAGATTTATAAGGCTTCTAGCCCGTGACATAAATAGATTATAAATTATAGTATATTCTTTATTTAATACTTTAACTTTAAGTCTTTAAGAAATATATACTTAATAAATTAATATTTACTACTAAATATACACCCCTAATAAAATTATTATAAACTTAAAATCTTATATAGAAATCTAACCTAAGTTAGATTTTAATATATTATATATATTATATTAACTACTAGATGCTTAATACTTAATATTTTACTTAATATTATAGTAATTCTACTATTATATATTTATTATCTTTATAGAATATTAGTATAGTTTTACCTATTTAAAATTACTTAGTAGGTTCATGGGCTAGACCTAGCCTATACTAACTAGATTAAGTAGGTAGAGAATACCCCCCCTAGTAGAACTAAACCTAGTGGGTTAAGCCACCTAGAACCTATAGGTCTATGGGTTAGTTTTGGCCTCAGGTTTCTAAGGCCCAAACCCAGCGGGTTGGGTTAGCTAAATAAGAGAACCCAGCCCAACCTATGAAAATAACAACTCTACTAATTAATTTTAAATTAATTAGGAATTCTAGTTCTTGCTTAATAAGATAGGTAAGAAAGATATTAATATAGAGAAGGATAATTAGGATAATAAGGATACTAAGTACTATATTAATAATAATAAAGAAGATCTAGGTGGCTTTAAGAAAGATAATAATATAGATAATATTAATATATATATATTATAGTAAGAAGTATCTAAGAGAGAGGGATTTAATAGAGATAATAATTACTTATCTATATAATAGACTATTATTTCTTACTTAGTATCTTAGGGATCTTAACCTTACTATACACCTTATTAACTAGGGCATTTCTATTAGCTTATAAATAGGACTTACTAGGTAGATTATCTTTTAGTATAATAGAGGAGTTCTACTTTATTAATTATTATATAATCTTTATAAAATCTAATTATAGTTAGATTACTTAACCCCTATTTTTTAATATATAATACTTCTATATTATCTATAATTAGATTAGGCAGTTTCACCTAAACTAATAAAACTATAAAAACTATAACTAATAGTTTTAACTAAACTTAAATTAGTTTCACCCTACCTAAACTGAAACTGAAGTAATTCCCTAGGTGAGGCACCAAACCCTCACCACTATGAGTTTGGTGAGGGTTGGATTCAATTTTAGCAGTTTGGTTATGCAACTCTAGTGATTCCCTAGGCTAGGCACTGAACCCTCACCACTGTGAGTTCGGTGAGGGTCGGATTCGATTTTACCAGTTCGGTTATGCAACTCTATTCAGGGCGCCTAGCAGCTCAGGAACCTCCTAGGTAAGGTCACTCAGGAGGATAGGTGTGTAGGAGATAAGTTATAACTAAGAGGCTTAACATACTTAATATACGTAAGGAGAGTCCAGGGATGCATTAGACTGGGTTGGAGAGTAGTAATAGGGGTGGGGAGGCTGAATTAGCTATTTACCTAGGGGTTGTGGCCTTAACTGACGAGGGGGGCATCAGCGCTGGTATATAAAAGTTAATATTATAGGTAGGCAGCAGTGGAGGTGCTGGTTCCTTCACTGCAGGTTAAGGCTCAGGTTCTAGCGCTATAGTTGCTTTCTGGGGCTGCTTTGGTAATATGCTTCAGGAGCAAGTCTGCATGGAATGGGTAGGCTGGAGCTGTAGAGATGGATGGCAGCTGATGTCGATTATCGGGTGGATGGGTGGGTGGATGGGTGGATGGACGGGGGCCTTTACTAATATAGACTCTGTAGATGAAGTAGTATAGCTTACTAACTAATATTAACTCTAAGTACTAGTGGAAATTAATATTTATAGACCCTACTCCTGGTAAGGAAGTGGATGTAGACTCTATAAAGGTAGGATATAGACTCTACTAAGATAGGATATAGACTCTAGAGTAGATGTAGACTCTGCACCCTAGAGATCTTATGGTCATCCCTAATTAGTATAGGAACTATAGACTCCGCGCATGACACTGTTACTATGTTGGTAGAGAGCAGAGTCAACCATTGGATTGGAAGGGTTGAAGGTAGAGAGATTATCAGGTGGGTAGGACGGTGTATCCTGCAAGCCTTCGAGGTAGAGAGCAGAGTCAATCATTGAATTGGAAGGGCTGAAGGTAGAGAGATTATCGGGTGGATAAGACGGTATATCCTGCAAGCCTTCGAGGTAGAGAGCAGAGTCAAGTGAATTGGAAGGGTTGAGGGTAGAGAGTGGATATTTCGATGATATTTCCGGGAAGCTTTCAAGGTAGAGAGCAGAGTCAATCAGCGGACTGGGAGGGTTGAAAACAGGGAAACGATTGGCTGCATATTGTGATGATATTTCCGGTAAGCCTTCGAAGCAGGAAGAATGGTCAACTGGACAGTTGAGGTGGTTCCTCGGGAAGTCCCCTTGACCAGGCGATGTTTCGAGAGGGACATCGAGGATATTTCGGTGAACAGAGCCGAAAAGTGCGGTATGATGATGTGAGCTGGGCGAAAATAGAGGGGGTAGTTCGTGAACCGTGAGCTGATGGTACTTGCTATCAGTACCTAAGGCTAATGGGAGCGCAATTTAGATTAGAGATGGCAACAGTAAACTGATTTGTTTTGCTTAAACTCACCAGAAAGGGCTAGATTGCTAATCCCATCAGGGATTGAGTCACAGCCTAATAGAATGTTCTCTGTATTCTGCAACAGTGAATCTGAGATAGGTGCGACGCGGGTTATGGGCGGCGACGTAGACCGACCCTTTCCCCCGCTGGTGTAGGTCGCGACTTTACTCGGGTTACAGTCTGATGACTGCTGTCGGTGCTGGAAGATATGCTGCCCTTTTCGATATTCGGCGCCTGCGTCCTCAATAAATTGGTTGTTTCTGGCTAAACCTTCGGAGCCACCTGGTGTCTGCTCGTCCAGGCTGTTCTTGACTGGAGGAGTCCGGAAACACATGACTGTAGGCAGACCTGGGGAAGAGAGAATTAGAAGTCTATCATCAGCTGGTATCATGAATGCTACCAGTAACTCTGTTAATTTGACTTGGCCTTCTGCCCATCCGCTGCGTCACACATCGATCATTGTTTAAATGGTCTTGTGCGTTGCGAAGCTCTCGGAAAAGCTTCCTGCAACTTGGACATTGATGTTTCTTTGGCCCATCTAGGTGTCTCAGTACATCAGTAACACTGTGTTTGCCTTGGTCGTCAGAGCCTCACGCTTTCCCAAATGTCTCTTCAGGTTAGACGCCCTGGAGAATCGGGCGCGGCATTTGTCGCAAATAAAGGGCCGATTTTGAGCAACAGATCGATCCATCAGAGAGTTCGGAAAGAATAGAAAAATCCTATACAGTAAGCTTTTGGCAAACTGGAGTAAAGCCCTGGTAAGGGGTAAGAGGGCGCTGCTTGATCGTTTTTGAGTTTACGATCTCGGATCGGACCTACTCATATACCGCCCAAGAGAGGACAGCCTCTGTGACCATGGCGTCATCACGTGATTCAGGTATTACTTGAAGCGGGGTTGTCCGAGAAGTCATGGTTAGACAAATCTTTTTCTCATTGATTTTCAGACTGGCTTTCTGTAATCGGTTCTCTAGAGTCGTCCATACTCTTCGTAATTCCTCGAGCGTATCGGCATCGAACAGGCTATCATCCAGGTCAACGGTTGCACTTCGTCCGAAAAAGTCTCCGATGACCGATTCAATGTACATTTGGAAAATTGCAGGGGCGTTAGTAAGTTTGGATGGCATTTGTTCACAGACGAATGTTCCTAGGTTGCATCGGAGCGCAGTTTTCCATACATGTCGTGGGTTGACTCAAATATGGTAGTAAGCTTCTGCGATGTCGTAACTACAGTACCCATCCAAGATACCGTTATCCGGCTTAGAGTTCTTCCGCACCTCCTGACAGCGAAGGGGTTAAATCAAGGGAGTCCCATGTTTTCACTCTTCTATTTCCTTCACTTTAGTACTTGGTGACAAGGTCATTTATTCCTGTCCCAAGGCCTTCCAGTGAGCTTCTTCGACATAAAGCATTGCCCATAATGCCTCAATGGTCATGCGACTGGGAAACATGTAGGAAGCCAGCCGCGCAGAGAGTAGGAGACTGCTTGTTGTGTGACAAACACTTCTGTCGCACGCATCGCCTAGAGCCATGGCACGGATGTCCTAAACCAGAGGTATGCAATGTACCTGCTCCCACAGCAGCAATGCTCATGCTCACCTGTTTAGGAAAACTGGGAAGCCTACTCCGCCCAATATGCAGCTACAGAAGCTCGTCATATAGACGAGTTGTGCCTTCGAATAGATCATTTTAAGTTATGTTCCCGCGCATCAATGCTTAGAGAAGGTATTTCATGCACCGTCGATTTGTCCCGCAAGAGCTTGGCTGCCATGATGGGGAACCAGAACTGCCATGCAGTGATTACCTTCGATGACAATGTCAAATGGCTTGCACGTTTTCGCCTCGCGAGGACCTCATCACCACCTCGGGAAGTCCGTGATTGGATACTTCGAAGTGAAGCTGCCACCATGACTTATCTTCAAGAGCACACTTGCATTCCTACGCCCAAAATTTTTGATTGGGCATGCGAGTCCGATCCAGGGAACCTACTCGGAGTTGACTATATCCTAATGGAAAAGCTGGACGGACGACCCCTGAATTGGCAGGAAGCAACTCCACAACAGAAGGAGAAGGTCTTACAGCAGTTGGCCGACATGTTCCTTGAGATTGAAAAGCATCCTTTCAAAGCAATGGGATCACTTGTGTTCTCAGCAGATGGTGCTATAGATATCCTAGGTCTCGCACATCAATCGACATTCCGGCCAGGAAAGGGTCCGATCGGTCCATTTTCTTCCTTTCTTGAGAGCTCTCAGGCTATACTCGAGTCCTACCTCGAAATGATAGCCAGCGGTGAGATCGACTCCTGCTGTCGGGTAGATACCTACCTTATCCATCGATTTCGCCACGATATTATTAGCTCTCTCTTGGAAGACATCCCGCCTAGCGACCAATTCTTTCTCAAGCACCCGGACGATAAGGGTGATCACATTCTGGTTAATGACCGTTTTGATATTCTGGGAATCATAGACTGGGAATGGACTCAAACAGTCTCCAAAGCCGAGGCGTTCTGTTCCCCATGCATGCTATGGCCGGTAGCTGAGTTCTACAACGGATCGAATGAGCTATCCGCCGAGGAATTACGGCTAGCTGCCATCCTTCGTGAAAAGGGCCGCGAAGATCTTGCCAACTGTGTTACTAAGGGAAGAAAGGTGCAGAGATTTTTCTTTGCGCTGGGGCCTGAGAGCTCTTTTCTAGACGTGCAGACACTTCCGCCCTTGTTCGCAGGGCTCCGGAGGGCCTTCAACTTAGAAGAAGAAGAGTGGGAGACATGGAAGAGCAAGGCGCTCAAGAAATGGAAAGATGATAGTTTAGTTCTTTGCTTGTTGGAAGTAGACTAGATAGGAAGAGTTTTATATGAATTGGTGTGTGCAAATCTAGTTTGCCCATAGCAACACTGTGATAAGGAATAGGACGCTAGACAGCCTCTTGCTTGCTCTCCACCACTCCATTAGGAGTAATCTTGTGAATAAGCAAGATGCTCCTGCCGTACCCAAAGTGGACTGCATCATTGGCAAGGTGTTGCCTTCAGCCTAGGCTTCAATTGGAATATGTGTTTGTTCAGGGTTGCCTATGGAACAGCGGTAGAAATAATTGTTAAGACTTGATCTAATGGGCTTTCTCCCTCTGTCATTGCTGCTCGCATCATGGCAACCACGTCAGAGGTCTTTTGCACAGAGGTTCCATCCTAATTCACATCGTTAGCGATAATCTACGTACAAGATCCCACTCGCAACCGTCTTTTTGTCTTTCGGCTGGTGGTTTACCTGCCAATAAGCTACGCCTTATGTTTAGTTATTGTATTACAATCTGGTAGGAATGAGATGCTAGGACAGAGAAGATCTGATTTCAAAATGATCACGTAAATACACAAAGGTAGGCGCTTCTAGCAACGCCTGAATGGACAAATTAGGTCGTTGGAATGATTGGCGCCGTAGCAGTAAGGTGCCGCTTAGGTCAGGCAGCCGTGCGCTCGTGACTGTCAGTTGCGACTTCGGGAGCTCGTACTCCATCGATGTTGGATTCCACGGCAGGTCTTCTCTGGGAACCAGGAGGCCTGTCTGTACTTATGTCAGTACGCAATCGGAGACTGAGGGGCAGAACATATGCTCACGGGTAGCGCAGTAGCGACTACCACTCAAAGCCCAATTGCCACATCCGGCCTGTGCGCACTTCTCGGCCATTCTGTGGGAGATGTAGGAGGGAAAGCTGAGTTCTGTCTGAAATCCGGTGTTGCTGTTGCGATAACCCGTAAAAGAATGAAGGACAACGGTGGAAAGGTCAGGCCTTATAAACCCCGGCTCCGCTCATTAACACCCCCTTGGTTTCTGGAGAAATGATGCAAGCAAACATGTCTCCAGACCACATACATCTTGAATGAAGGTCCGTGCCAAGTTTAGATCAAGCGGAATGCCTAATCCTCGATTTCAGGAGCAAGTCTAACCCATCAAAGGTCGACTTCAAGAGCAAGTCTAACCCGTTAAAGGGCGATTTCAGGAGCAAAGTCTAACCCTTTAAAGGGCGGATTTCAGGAGCAGCTAGGGTAAGTTAAGTTACCCCGCATCAGGACCAGCACTAGTCTTACTTTAGGTAAGGTGGTTCAAGAGGCCTTGATCTTCACCAAGAGTACGCATCTTTGATCGGTGGGGCATCATCATCAAATAGGAACGAACACAGTGGAACTTCATCAAGCATACCTACACTACTCCGCTGTTCCAAGATATGTAGACTAGCTACTGAGAAGTCAACTGTACTAGGTCCATGGTCGGTCAGGAGGGCTGGAAAGTAGGATTTGGCACCCCTCGACAGGTATAGCTATAATTTGAGAAACACACCTTTGTCACTCAGCACATCACGAATCCCTAAAACAAGCCATCACATAAACCATAACCGGCCCATCACACTCAAACAGCTCCCCATAATCACTATCCTTCGCACACGCAATTCCATCCACACCGGGACAGGTCAACGTCCCCACGGTATTATCCTTGCCTGCAGTGTACTGGCATCCGGGGACCCCATGCGCCTCGAACGGGCCGATATCACTGTCCGGGAAGTCCGGATTCGGGGCGACAGTGTCCGCGGTGACCTCGGCATCAGGGCTCACCTCGCACGGGTCGTACTCCACCCCGCCAATGCTGTCGATGACCATCCTCTCAAAGATCCAGGAGATGCCGGTATACTCCTCCATGAGGTAAAAAGAGACCCACTTCCTAGTTGTGGAGGTGGATGTTGCGGTTGACGTTGAGGCTGTTGAGGTGGTGCTCTTGGTGGACTCGGTTGTTGTGGTTGTTGCTTTGGTGGTGGTTGACTTGGTTGTGGTGCTGGAAAACTGGCTGTCGTAGGCGGACTGGTAGGCCGAAGAGGAGGCCGCGAAGCTGCTGTAGTCGTCTACGCTGGTCGGGAAGATATCGGCTTCTCCGAGGTGGAAGCCCGCTGCTGTGTAGGTTGCTGTGGAAGTGGTTGCTGTGGAAGAGGAAGAGGAGGAGGAGCTAGAGGAATCATCGCTTGAATCATCACCACTGGAGCTTCCGCCGCTGCTGGTGCTGCCGAAGAGGCCTGGAGGACACAAGGGGCAGCCAGAGTAGCACCATAGCAGGCCTGTTCATATAGTTAGTTCGGGGGTATTGTACGATGGGGAAGGTCTCAGGGTAAAAGGGCCAGCATACATGGGATACCACAAATTTCGCCAGTGCCGCAGGACGGTGACGCAGGGGTGCCCGATGTCCATGAGGTTGATTTTGTGTTGAGATCCGGGTCGGGGGTTGAAGTCACGTCTGTGGGATAGGGATGCGGGGTGATGATGATAGGGACTGGGGTTCCCGTGGTGCCACCTGTGATGGTAGTACTGGAGCCTACTGTTTCCGTGACAGGTGGAATGACGTATGTGGTACTGTGCCATGCAACGATGGTGGAGTTCTGTGTTGTGCTGGTAGGCTCAGCAATGGATGTGGTACCGTCCCAAACCCTTTCGCAGTGTTAGTACTAGTTGTTAGGATTGTATGGAGGCAATTCAAAGCTTACGGAGTAATTATAATGGTGAATGTAAGCGGCTGCACAGAGCTGGTCAGCTCAATGTCACCGTCAGTGGCATCAGTTGGAAGAATGATGTTCCAGACGGGAATTGCAGTCGTCGTCACTGATAGTAGATCAGTTAGAACTAACACATCACAGCACGGGGGAAACGGAAACCAACCTGGGGGAACAGTAATGACAGTCGGAATGGTCAGGGTGTCGTATACAAGATCAGTCGATGTCGAGCCATCCGAGTCCGTATAAGTGCTGGTCGACAGAGTAGAAAACGACAACACCGTGGTCCAAAGTGGAAAACTAATCGTGGTGGTGCCGGACAGTTGCAGAGGGGGCCAGACCAACGTCTCACCTGGCATACCTGTCACGACCAGAGTAGCTTCGCTCCAGACGGTTGGACCGATGTAGGCCATCGAGGTGGTGTTATCATCCGAGGAAGAGGACGACGAACTGCCCCCCTCGGACTGCACGTCAACAGCCCAATCGGCTGTTCCTAGGAACCCGTAGAGTTCATACAGGAGGATGCGGATGGCTTTGTTTGAGTCATTCATGTAGCTCACCCACTCCGTGTCATTGTAAACGAGAATGTTGCTGAACGAGTCAGTATCCCAGTGGACCTCCGCCGTGGGGTTCTCCGCAATGATAGTCTCCAGTTCAGCATCGGCAATGTAGCCAGCCGTCTCGGTGCATATGCCAGGCAGGGCGCCTGAATCTGGTCCCGTATAGGTACACATCTCCGTCCAGCAACCGGAAGTAGTCATCTTGAAGGACCGGCCGTAACTGGCCACTCCAACGACAATCTGGGTGTTTGACACTCCAGCCTTGGTGATCATCGACAGCGAGTTGATTGTTTCAGTCAGATTAACGTGCGAGCGTAGACAGTTGCCCCCCGAGCACCCAGGATCCGCATATGCATTGCCATAATCCCATTGTCCGTGGAGATCGTAGGTCATGTACACGATGTAGTCCACCACATCACTGATCGCCTGGATGGGGAAGTTCTGGAGGTACCAGAAAGACGCTGGTGCAGTGACGGAGATTGTCCTGCCCGTTCCATCTAGAGCGGCCATGAGCAGCCCTAGCGTGACGAAATAGTTGGTGCTGTCTGCCGCAGTGCCGGCAGGAATGCCGGGGATATCTGGCTCGTCCGGATACTCCCAATCCCAATCGATCCCATCTAAGTCATACTTCTCCAAGACATCGACAACACTCTGAATCAGCGTGGCCCGGTTGGTAGACGTGACCGCGTCCCGGAAGATCATATAGGTGTCTGGGCTGGTGGAAAAGTCCCATCCACCGACACTCAGGACGCGTTTGACCCCGCTCAAAGCAGTGAAGAAGGGGAGCTGCGCCTCAATGGAGCTGATATTCAGCGTGTAGTCAGTGCTAATGGTGGCGAACGCAAAATGGATATGCGTGTAGGAACTGGTATCGATCTCGCTCACGGACATGGTCAGGCACGGGCGCGACCAGTCAAAGCCTTCGAAGTAGGCAATTGAGTAGATGTCCGAGGGGTAACCGGTGAGGACAATATCCGTGCCGCAGTTGGAAATACACCCATTCTGACCTGGCGCAGCTGTACCTGGAGCGCCAGTCGAGGACTGCGAGATGGTGCAGAATTCGGCGGTGGTGCCACATTGGCCCCAGATATCACAACAAGCATTGAGAGGACACTCGTTCAGCGTACTAAGGTTCGTACCATGAGGTGCCGTTGGGGTGCCATTTACCTGCGGACCACAGACTGCGTTGGTAATGACAGTAGGCATGGGCGGCCAGCCAGAGCTAAGACAGATGTTGTTGCCCACCAGCAAGTCACTGCAGCCCATCCAGCCCCAGGTGTCGTTGTTGTAGCTCTCAATTTTAGCTGTGGTGGTATCATAGGCTGCGGCAATAGAGTCGCAGGTGTCTCCAGTCTGCACCAGATAGACATAACAGTTATCGTCGTCATCAGGCTGAGGTGAATAATCAGGAAGTGTTCCCTCAGAGCAGCACAAGTATTCTCCAACAGTTAACGAAGAGCACAGATCATCGGCAGTATTATAATCTTCAAATTCAGTGCCGGTGATGCCACACTCGGACGCTAAGGATGTGCACGTATCGCCATACACGACCTGGACTGTGGTGCAGGTATCACGAGTATTCAACTGCGAGAGACATGGGGATTGAGTGGCCATGGAAGTGCCATTGGTCGAGTTCCGTGGCATAACTGGAGCCAGGAAGGTCACGTTCTTCCAGCTCTCGACTGTCTGGTCAGCAGTGGTGGTAACACAGCTGTTGTTCTTCCATGCCTGGACGGCTTGCTGTACCGAAGCAAAGTCCGACCCCATGTGAGCTATGACTCCCAAGGAGTACCGAGAAGCTCGTTGATGCAAGTCGCAGAGCTGGACCACGAGTTCGCTGCCTATGCCGTTGCTCTGCACGCGGTCGACCAGTTGCTCCAGAACAGACGATAGGACGGACTGGCCCGCGAACCCGGAGCCGGAATAGACGCCAACAACTGCCTGACCCGACAAGGCAAACTGGATGGTCTCGTTGCATCCGTCCTCACAAAGGAGGGAGAGTGCATGCAGCTCATTCAGGGCAGCGATCACTGCAGAAGCATTACCAGATTGGATGGAGGCAGACGAGGACAGTTGCAATGATCCAGTCACGTTGGTGGTTTTATTTGCATTCTTTTCTGGCAAACAGGATGCGTTACCAACGGCGGTTGAGTTGGTCGTGACCTCGGAGTCATCGGAGAGGTCTGCCACACAAGCTGCAATACTAGCATGGGTCTTGGGGTCATCAAGCGAATTAAAGAGGGCAAAGTTGAGAAGCATTGTTTGGTTGCACCAGCCCAGACGATCCACGCTGTGGTAGACCGGCCATCCTGTGGGATCCAGGCCAAGAATGCTGCAGCTGTCTGGGCAGCGACTGCGGGTTGTATTAGAGAGCCCAGAGGCCCAGTCACCCTGCAACACACTGGTCCGGTTGCTGGTGGCCTTGACACTCTGCGTAGATCCCACTGAGAGAGTAGGGATAGGGTGAGCCGCAATATAGGCATCCATGGCTTTGGTGATGGATGCCTTCAGTGCTAGAGTGCCGGCAATAGACCAGGCGACTGTCACAATGATGAAATTCATGACGGTTGGTTGTAGCATGGCGACTAGAAGATTGGCTGGGCAGAGCCCAGGCAGGATGAGGAGCACAAAGTCACGGACTGGAAAGAAACATAGGACAAAAGAAAATAATGGATAATAATGAAGAGAGGGGAAATATGAGAGCAAGCAGGAAGGAGTAGTATCAGGTCTCGTCAGGCTGGCAGTCTACTCAAGAAAGAAGTCCCAGTTCGGCTGGACGAGAGATATTCCGTAGGTAATGTATATATGTGTATGTAAAAGCCCTTCATTCTTAATCTATTTTCTTTTCTGTTAGTGCGCGTAATCACTATCAGCGCCTCCTTAAGTAGGTAGTAGTGACTACTCATTGGGAGCACTTCCGGGTGCAGCCATACTTCTGTTGAGAAAGCAATGCATGTACGTAATTTAATTACATTTCCGAGTTCATCAGACGAAGCATCGACTGACGCGTACTCCCAGTAGCCCCAAGACAGGGATTGTGTCCCCCTTGACGGCGGGTGCAGGTCCGGCGGAGGATTAGTTCAATCATAGCAACAAGTAGCGCCTAGCATGCATTGTGGCTGGCCTGTTATCAATCCCCGTAAGCAAATATGGAGGAGAAAGAAGAACAGGTCTTGGGCTCTGTGCTCTGCCCCAATGTTCAGCTGAATCTATATCTCTGCCCAGCTACTCTCGTCTCATCCTCTGGTATTGTGCTACTTACTACTTCCTCCCTTCCTGGCCTTCCTTTTCTCCAAAACTTTGGAAGTTTCAGCTTGAATTGCCACCATGTTGAGACTGGCACTGATTCTGTTATATGCGTCATCCCTATGGAGCCGCGCTATTGCTGTCGATGTTCCAACGGAAGTGGCCGTTACCCTCACCACGTCTGAACTCTTCGATTTGGGTGACGGTAGCTGTGACGAAGCCAGCCGCATCTCCACGATTGACGCCCATCTCGCCGAGTGCGTGAATCTGATGAATGCCGCCCTGACGGCGTATCACAACTTGCAAGATGCTGCCGCGTATCGCAAGATGTTCGCTACGTGGTTGAGCATGGAGTTTGACGAGTTCGAAGACCCAGTCGAGGTGGATGAATTTTTTACGGACAGATGGAGTACTATTCAGAGTGGGCATATAATCTCCTTATGGGACAAGCATGACTGAGCAAGGCTGACGGATTCTAACGGACAGCACGTTTGGCCGGAGTCGCCCAATTCCTCAGCGGCGGGGGACTGGTCAATGCCAAAAGCTCCGACAAACCGAGTCTGTTCTGCAGCGACGACTTTGCAGTCCGAAAGTCCTGGGAAACAACCGCCAGGGACGGATCTGGCGAGGAAATGATAAAGGAGAAAGATGATGAGGGCAATGTTGTTGAGACTTACACCATTGCCGACGTCTACCCCAATATCAAACTGTTGAAGGATACCGGAGAGATTGATGAAGATGAAGACGCGAGCATGATCATGCCGTACTGGGTTGACTACCTCAAAGGCTACGACTTTTCTGCCGTGGGAACTGAAAATATCTGCGACAAAGACGCCCTGTACGGCTGGACCAGTCGGGCTGATGATAGCCCAAGCACCGAGGCGGGCAATCTCGACGGCTTCACCTTCGCCTCGTTCAACCGGCATATCCTGCTCTGTCCGTTGACATTCTCACCCCCTAGCCAGTATCACGGGACCGCTACGCTGGCAGAGCTGGTCACTTCTGCAGGCTATCCCGTGGCCGCCGCTCGCATTCTCCCAGAGGCGTACTCGACCATCAGCTGCACCTTGTACCATGAACTCTTCCACTTGGTTGATAGCGCGGGGACAGATAGCGATTCAGGATGTAGGATTCCTTGTTCTATTTCAGGCTGGTCAGACAGATTACAGCTAACGTTCTCTCCTAGTGTATGGATCATTGAAAATCCTAGACGCCAGTTTCACTGCGAAAAAAGCCTCGGTTGTCAATGCTCCAGAACCCTATGTGTTTTTCTCTCTGGCTGCTTATCTGTATCAAAACCCTCCTTCGGGCAGTGCAGCTGTCGCATTCATCCCGCCCAAGGGATGGCAAACTCTATGAGGGGTATACCTGGTGAGTACGTAAGGGATGGCTTGCATACTCGTCTCTGGATGGTGGAAGATTAGGGTAGATGATTTATTCATTAAAGAAAGCGAGAGAAGACCATCGACCTAACTTAATCAAGTAAAATGTACCATCTAATTTAGTGGAGACTAAGGTGGACTGAAGGACCTAGCATGCTCTAGTTTAATTTATATGCATGTACAATCCCATGAGGCTAAGCATTCTTACATTTTGGCTCTGGATGTCGGCTATCGGCTACTATTAGTTCTTACCTAGACCAGTTCATCGGCAAGGATCTTTGCTAGCCTTGTCTATTTATGAACTTTCAGACGAGTGAATTCTAAGAGAGAGAAGTGCATCCCAAATACACTTAGCTTGGACAATGACTCAGTCACTCCAAATTCACTATCTGCTAAGCCAGTTTATAACATGCGTCTATTCTGATTGGATTGTCAGCTAATCGCAGGACCAGGCTACGTGCAATTGCGAAAACGCTTCATGAGCCGCTCAAACGTGTTCTCAACCTCTACGACTGCCCCGTGATCACGCAGGTAGTTCACAGTATCCTGATCATTCAGATCCATCGCCAGCTGCAGTACCGAGCCGCTCGACCGAGAGGACCGCGTATGTACAAGGCCCTCGTAGTAAGCGTTGACATTGGCCCCATGCGCAACCAGTAATCGCGCTAGGTTTGCATGTCCGGCATTCACAGCCCGCACGAGGGGAGGAATCAATCGATAATCCTTCCGATCTTTCTTGGTAGGACCAGGGCCTGGAAAATCAGCATAATCCTGGTCAACAAAATCAGGAAGGGCCCCGTTGTCTAGCAGGATCCGGGCGACGCGTCCATCAGGGTAATCCATGCTCAGAGCAAGCGCATGAGTCCGCGACATCCGGTCAGTGTCCCGTACCAAAAGGCTGACGATATCGGCGTGGCCGCTGGCGGCCGCCTTGACCAATGCGGTTTCGTAATCGAACCCGTGGTAGTTAGGGTCTGCGCCATGGCTCAGGAACAGCTTAACAAGATCAACATCCCCTTGCTCGCTCGCCCAGACGAGCGGGGTTTTGCCGGACCAGTGTTCGAACGCCGTGTTTAGGTTCACTCCGTATTCTACTAGCAGGTAGATAATGTTCCTGTGATTTTCTTTCATTGCACATTCAAGTGCATCTCGGAGCTCGCTGGTATGGTGCAGACGCTCTGAGCTATGGTGGAGTAGTAAGCTCACTATGGTCTCGTTGCCCTGGAAAGCGGCGATCTGAATGGGGCTGTGGTACGTGAGAGGCCGAGGTTTCTGGTCTACTCCTAGACTCAGAAGCATCCCGACTAGGCTTGCGTGACCGCGGATGACTGCAAGGGATAGCAAGGAATACCGGTCAGGGGTCTCCATATTCGGGTCACAGCCCCGCTCTAGGAGAATCCTGGCTATTTCCTCATGTCCATTTTGGACGGCAAGACAGAGAGGATGTGCTGGCGGGCAGTCCGTAAAGCGATGGCGGATTATCTTACCATACACAACCCGCTCTCCAGTGATGCAGCGTTGACCAATTTGCGAATGCACGGGTATCTCGGCTCCGTAGTTGATAGATTTTTGCAAAAGATGCGTCATCCCACGCTCTGCTGCCCAGCTAACTGCCGCACTAGGAGGGTGCCGGGCATCCAGCTGATACAACGCAGGATCGAAGATAACATTTAACCGGCGGTTCACGCGGGCCAGAGCGCCGAGGGTCTGGAGTGATTCTATGTGCTCTGCAATGTGGCATAAGATTTCCGTTGGAAGCGAGAGAAGAGACATGGTGAGATGAAAGACGAAAATTGGCTGATAGCAGCAGGATTGAGTTAATTGCGAATGGCTCAAATCCTTTTAGGGATGAAATATGCCTGTGGAATGGCGGGTCTAAGCCAAGTCGAGCTAGCTTGGCACCCTGTAGTCTGATCTTACTTGCATGTTAGGGCTTGGCCGGACCCCAGATTATCAATAGACGCGTCAGCTTTCTTCCTCGCACATGTCACTTATGCAGGGGTAGGGGTCATTTGATTATACAACTCGGAGAAAACTCCTGATTCCGGATGGAGGTTGAGTCATGAGCAATGACTTCAATTTATTATATCCGACGGGGAGCTGGAATGAGTGCCGCGCTGGTACTTGCCAGGCACACAATATGTAGTTCATGTTCCTCAATACTAGCTGCATGCGGTCATAGTTTAGCATGTATCCTGTAGGCGAGATTGACCTTATCAGTGGCGGAGATACAGCTGTAATTTCCTTGCAGTATACCTAATTATCTGTTGGCTGTTGGGCAACAATCTCTCCGCAATGCATTCTATGGAACTGCGGTTGATACAATAATAAATCACTCACCAATCTTAGCCTATCTCTAGGAGGCTTCCTCAGTGGAGTGCAACAGTATCTGCTATTCTACTTTCTATCTTCCACAATGAAACTCTCTCCGGTTTTGCGCATACTAATATGTCCCCTCCTGGTAGGGGCATACCTGGTCTCCCCACCAGGCACTGCTGCCCCAGGGACCACAGCTGACTGCAGCGAATGGATTGAATATTCCTCCAGCCTGACATGCGCGCTGATCGAGCAGCTTTTTGGCATGACGGAAGCTGAATTTGAAGAATGGGTGAGACTACTTCAAATATCAATCATGAAAATGAACCAACTCATGCTGACCGTGAAGCAGAACCCTATTGTCACTGAACTCGGTACAGGCTGTGCCCTGATCTCCGGCCTGTACTACTGTGTACAGGTCAATTTTACAACCGTCACCGTGAGCTCGTCAAATCCGTTCACGACTACATCTGGAGGGTCCACCTCAGGTACAGCCGTAGCAACTACCTCAGCATCTACAAGTGCCATCGCCACACCCACTCCGTATGAGACAGGAATGGTATCTGATTGCGATGCCTTCCACCTTGTTGTGAGTGGCGACACCTGCGCGACGATCGCCAGTTCAGCAGGTATATCCGTCTCCAACTTTGAAACTTGGAATCCCACTGTCGGGTTCGACTGTTCTGGTCTCTGGCTGGACTACTATGTCTGCATTGGTATTGTTGGAGGCGCAAGTTCCACTGCCGCGACAAGCACGCCCACCACTACCACCGGAAACGGGATCAGCACGCCTACCCCGTATGAATCAGGAATGGTAGACGACTGCGATGAATTCTATCTCGTCGTCAGCGGAGATAGTTGTGCCTCCATTGCCAGCACAGCCGGCATATCGGTCACGGATTTCGAGACCTGGAATCCAACCATTGGCTCTGGCTGTTCAGGTCTGTGGCTGGGCTACTATGTCTGTGTAGGAATCACCGGAGGAACTACCACTACTACAACTACCACTGTGGCTACAACGACTACTTCTGCCGCTACGACTACCACCAGCGGCAACGGCGTGACCACCCCGACTCCCTACCAGTCCGGCATGGTGGATGACTGTTACTCTTTCCATCTTGTTGTTAGCGGAGATAGTTGTGCTGTTATTGCTGATGATGGTGACATCACGTTGGATGAGTTTTATCTGTGGAATCCGACGGTTGGAACCAGTTGTAGCAGTTTGTGGTTGGGTTACCATGTCTGTATTGGGATTCTGTGACAGTGCTGGCTGTGTTGAATCATGACTGCTTTATGACCAGGAATTGACAATAGGATTCGACACCTACTTAGTTTGCTGTTTCCTGGGAGAATGGCAATACAAAAGTGCCTCTGTTTCTTAATACGAAATCAAATGGGCTGGGTTAACAAAACATCAGATTTCGGAAAGCAGAATGAGCTTCCTCTCATATCCATACAGCTATGATGATGATCTATGAAGGTAGATCTATTTAAGTAGGGGATTATATGGAATTGACATCAAAAAAACACCGTGAAAATGGAAGGAGAAATGTGCTCTATGAACATATGGAATATGATATTGTGTATAGAGCCTTTCTGCCCATAGACCTCACATTACTTTCAAGTATGTATATATATATACTACTCCATCCGAAACCCCCACCACAACCTCTATACCATCTCAAGGCAGTGGCTTCCGAATAGACGATGTCACGCTCATCGAAGCTACTATTCATAATGAATTCCCCCGAATCGCTGAGCTCGTTGGCAGGGGCGGAATGTTCGCTTTCTCTCATAACTGGTCCCTGGTGGCTCGGAGATTAGGGGGGACGGACTTGCCTCTACGTGTACATGAGCAAGGATGATTGATTGGCTATCGAGTGAAACAACACTGTTAAATTGGGCTCGGCGTGGCTTACTTTACCCTACTGTTCGGTCACACCCGGTACCTCCGAGCAGTTCGGCTCACCACAGCGACCAGACAAAGCTCTGTATGTGAGCAAACAGTAAAGTGCGCCCAGTAGATTCCAGTAAGGATCTACTCAAGCTATTGTGGATACAGGACAACAAACCCGGAACTTCGGGGTTTAATGAACACTCTGTCCAATATGGAGAATGGTCGTGAATTCAGAATTACTGTACTAGACTATACCTCCATACCCCATGCAGGGTGACGGCCAGGATGCGAAGGTTTTATTCGAGAGGCAAGGCACATTCGTTCAAGCGACAACCCGCCGAATATATTCTCAAAAATGCTAAGGAGAGAGTCATCGACTGCCTCCCTAGTGGTCAACATGGGTTACCGAAAGATAGGCTCCTCGAGCGCTCATAGAGAAACGTGGGAATCATATCCCTGAGGTAGCCCACGATGGCTACTACTCCTCTCATATCAGGTAAATTTTGGTCCCCTCGTTCCGACGGCATCATACCCAAAACCAACCGATCCTGTGGCTCTGTTCGGGCGTGCCGTGGAGAGAGAACGGGGCCACTACAGGCGCTCTCCAGGGAACGACTGCCCCAACTCGACTGAGCAGCTTGAACCCGAATACTACCATTCCGAAATGAACTCTGCCTTTACCGAACATTGTAGGATTTGCCTACATTCGCAGCGGCAGATGGAATACTGGCGCAGCTACTGGGCCGCTTACGAGTTATCATGTCTTCCTATACTTCAAAGCAGTGTTCTCATGGCCCTCATAATGCCCGAATTACCGGTACTACCAAGTAACCCACTTACCGCTTGGCGGCTTTGACCTCTGAGAAACACAGCGTGTTTCATAAAGTCACTGGCCTTCCGAACAGAAGGGCTCAGGAGGGGTGGGTTCTGTTATAATGCCGTCGGACTTTCCAGAAATGGCTTGAATATCGAAGTGTCTCCGAGTAGTTACAGATCCAGATTATGACTTTGTACGTGCCGAGCCTACTTTCTTTGGGGGGCAAAGGGCTTGACTTGATCGGTCATACCGGAGTCGGAGATGAGGCCTTTCGGCTGAGCACTGGCACAACCCGTTCGGCAGAACGAGTATAAACATAGTTACAGAGCAACCAACGCAAGTGCTATGACCACTACGTACTGCACTGATTGGTCCAAGCCCTCGACAGAGACTGGTACAACGTTTCCCGTTCCACTTTTTTGACAACATACGAGAGAGCTCGGTCAAGGCCATTTTTGGGGGAGCGATTTTCGACCCCACGAATGGAACCGTCGCCACGCTGGAAGAAACTACGACATTCCTGCAGGTATTGGCTGAGGAGGGGATTGATACCATCGACACTGCCCAAATTTACGGCTGGAGTGAAACTCTGCCGGGTAAGCCCGTGCTGCCTCATCTTTTATTATTGATACCAAACACTGTGGTGGCCATATACCTGGCCAGTCCGATAAAGAAACGTTAATGGCGAGAGCGGAAGCAAGTTTAGACAAACTCCAAACTGATCATGTTGGTCGCCGTTTCCAGCAGTCGTCATATCAGAATAAGCTAACCATTCCACAGGTCAATATATTCTACCTTCACAGTCCGGACCGGAAGGCCAACCTCAAGGAGACCTTGTCCGGGGTAAATGACCTATACACGAGGGGTAAATTCAAGAAATTTGGTCTATCTAATTTCCTGGCTCGGGAGGTAGAAGAAGTCATACGCGTTGCACGAAAGAACGATTTCGTCCTGCCTTCAGTGTACCAAGGCAGCTACAGTGCTGTCAGTCGGATGGAAGAAACGTAACTTTTTCCGGTGTTACGCAAGCACAATATGTCCTTCTACGCATATAGCCCACTAGCTGGAGGCTTCCTAGCCAAAACAAGGATATCGTCGCGGGCCAGGGGCCGCTGGGACCCAAACTCGGCCTACGGCCAGCTCAACCTAGCTATCTTCGACAAGTCTGCTGTGCTTCGCGGTCTGCATGCCTGGGCTGCCATATCCAAAAAATCGGGGATCTCCAAGGCTGATCTCGCGTTCCGACGGATTGTCTACCATTCAGGATTAGATGGCCAGCGCGGTGAGGCCGTTGTTATCGGGGCATCCAAATCTGAGCAGCTTAGGAGCAGCATGAAGGGTTTACGTGATGGACCCCTTCCAGATGCTGCTGTTAAAGAGATCAACTCAGGCGATCCCCCGGACTCTGAGACATCGCAGCCCTGTACAATTTCCCGGCCAACATCGATGCCGAGGACCAAACAATTGGAATCTTCAGAGGTGAGGGCAACGACGAGAATGGCAAATCGCTCAGCAACTATGATCCTTCAGACCTCGCCGCCTACTGCCAACATCAAAAGCCCGGCTACAGGACCACACCTACAGTGGTGCCGGTGGCATTGACCGTGGGCTCCAAGCATTATTCCAATGATCCAAGCAATCCCACGCTGGAACTCTCACAAGATATCATGACCGTGGCCACTATCGCACAAGGTCGTACCATCAATGTCTACTTTAGCGATCTCACTGAGCAACGATGGTTGACCTTCCAACTGAGTCCTATTTCCTGCCAAGGGTGAAAAGCGGCCCAACATTGTCTCCATGAGCTGGACCATGTATGATGAGAAGACCTATGGTTCCAACGACTCGCCGTAGTCGGGACCAGCGTCTTTAGGATCTCTGGGGACTGGGGCGCCAACAGCAATGTCACTGATGGCCGTGCTCATGTTGGCTGGCCCGGTAGTGACCCTTGGATAACCTGTGTCGGAGGTACGGTCGTGGGGAATGTGATGTCGACAGAGTCCGGGGCGACGACGTTCGATGAATACGCCTGGAGCGATCGGAACAACAAATCGAGCCAATTTACGATTGACGGGACCTTGGGCGTCACTGGTGGAGGCATGAGTGTGGTATTTCCTACCCCAACCTATCAGATTGCTGCTGGAATCACGGGCTTTGTGGATTCGAAGTCGAAAGTTTGGAGAGGAGGCAGATTTATCCCGGACATTGCTGGGATGGTCGGGCTCCGAGGGTTTATCATCGGTAAACAATTTGGTCTCTTGAATCCAACTTTATACCAGCTTGGCGACGCTGTCTGCAGAGCCATCACTTTCGGACATAATGACTCGGGGGATACTGCAGACTGTGCGTATTTCTCCGCTGGTGTGGGCTATGACCCAGTGACAGGATTGGGAAGCATCGATGGAGCCAAGATGTTAAATGCATTCAAAGATCTGTATTCCTGGCAAAAACGCGGTACCAGAGCTGATGAGCGTGTACTTCCCAATTAGGAAGGCGAGATACATGATTTGGCGGGGAGTTCAATCATCCCAAGTTGCTTGACAAATGCATGAAGCTGTTTTTGCAAGAGGCTTTGTAAGGCCATCAGCTGCCTGTTCAGTAGTGGGGACGTAGAGATATTCAAGTTTGCCTGCAGCGACCTCTTGGTGGAGAAAGTGATGGCGTATGCCAATATGCTTTGTCCGGGAATGATACTCAGCGTCCTTGCTCAGTAATTGCGCCCCTGATTATCAGTGCAGATATAAACAGGTTGACGACATTAAACCCCGTCTAGGATAGAGAGTTCCGACAGAAGTAGTATGAGCCAAATCATCTCCTGTACAGCGAGGGACATTGCAATATATTCAGATTTTGTAGACAACAGAGCAACGCTAGTTTGGCATTTAGAACACCATGAGTCTAGCAAATAACCAAGGAGGAAGACATATTCAGATGTTGAAATTAAATTAATAGCATGAGGTCCCACCTAATCTGCATCTATAAAGCCATTAAGATCACCAAGCACAGCAGGATAGAAAAGCAAGAGTAAGACTGTCCCTGCTAGATAATGAAAGACACATTTCACTACAACAAAATAATCAAGGCCAGGACTCCTGGAAGATCAAGCCAGCTTTGATTAGAGTTGCATTCAGTCCAACTTCAGGTGAGTTCAAAACTAGTTGCACTGAACTGCTGCAATTTCAAGTCTAAATTCTAGATCTTAGAACCCACCCTCACCTATTATGATTTAGTTTAAGTCTCACTACAGAACTTAAATCTTAGTACTACTAAACTACTTATATTAAGTACTAACCAACTATGGCTAGATTTAGTTTAATTTAGGTTAGTTTTAGGTTAGAACTCCACCAATTTGTGGAGAACCGCAAACCTGACTATCCGCTAGTAAGCTCTTTCAGCCACGGGCCTGCCCTTCTCCAAGCTGGATTAGTCGAGAAGATAGTGCGATTAATTTCTCATCGAATTCAACCTCGGAATTGGCATGCCTCTCGGGCGAGTGATTTTGATGTCTATGTAGCGAGGGTTGTCATTTCACATCCATCAATATTTACCGGCTTCCAAGGCCAAAACTGTTATACGGCTTTTGAGAGGGGATTCGAAGAAGAACAGAAAGGGGTCTACAAATTTCTAAGGTACATCAAATGGTACACTGGTACGTCTTATCAAACGGGCATATACCGGTGATAACCACGATAGGCACTTCCGTCTCTACAGTGCATCATGCTCATCAACTCTCGTCTCATGGCTATAGCTATGCTTGGTAGGAGCTACACTGACTCGAAGGCACTGCCACTGAAGAACCGGTTGGTGGACGTAGCGCTAAAGAGGAGGTGCTTCCTGCGTTCGACCTCCCGTCAAAGCCCATTCCATTGAGCTGAATGCCATCCTTGTTCCTCGCTGTCATCCCCAAAGGTTCACGAAATGAGCGTGGACGGTATCCCGACTTTGTATAGAACCTCGATGCCCTTCGAAATACAGGCCACGTGGTCGAGACGTAGATAATGCTGTTCCAAAAGCCCTGTAGAGAAAGAACCAATGCGCCAGCCAAGTTCAAGCCGAAATTGGGCTCTTTAGGGTGGACGAGACCGTATATCCGGTTAATTGACGACGGGATCTGGGAAACAGAACAAAGTCAGTAAATTCGCCCACAATCGGAGACATGTCCTTAGAAACAATGCGAGCTGGTAAGAGCAGTGTTCGCCGACGGGAGAGAAGTAGGGTAGCACAAAATGAGATCAGTAGGAGGAAGAATAATAACCATACCCAAGTAATTACCATAGCTATAAAGAAGAGGAATGAATATCTCATATAGCTCCACATAGCTCTATTACTTCCGTTATGAGTATCTTTCCTGTTCTGAGATCGGGTTTGTTGAGATTCGACGCAGACAGTATACGGAGCTTCCCCCTCAGCTGCCAGGCGTCCCTCGGCGCTTGTGGTTACTTGGGTGATTGTGTGAGTCTTTCTGATGGTTTCACAGGCAGATAGTGCATCTTGTGCACTTTTGAAATCTCTGTGTTTGCGGAAGATGTCGCTACCCACTTTGGCATATATCGCAAATGTTGCGATGCTGATAGCCCTTAAAGACGATGAGAAAGGCCCGTAATAAGGCTGGAATATGCACAAACATACCATACTGGACCATAGAAACACACTAGACGAAGGAATTGCCATGGGCTGCTGATCGAGCACCAAATCTGTCTGAGAATTACTACGCTGCTTCACTCGTCAATATCCGGGTACACCTACCAAAGCAGGTCCATAGATCCTTCCTCGCTCATCGGTCTTGATGAATATCAATGTGATCGCGAGCACCAGAGGTAGCCCATAACACAGAAGGAAGTACCATTTTTCCAGCTTCTTTATATCTTCTGCCGTGTACCTCCGGTAAAAGGTGAGATAGATATTCAGGGCCATGCAAAAGGACCATAATGAGTCCGCAGGCATCCAACTGTGCATGCCCGGAGTATTAATAAATCAGATGTGTTGCAAATTCTGTCGGCGCGGGGAGTGAGTAGTGACGTACTACTGGATGAAAAATGCCTGTGTTTGACATAAGGCAGAATTTGGACCCGCTGTGACTCCATCCATGCTAATCAGACAAGCAACCGCGGAGAAGATATTCCCAAAGGATGCATAGAAAACTAATCTGCTGATTGGTGTGCGAAAGGCAGCCGATATGCAATATGTGATCAAGATTAGCAGGCAGCCCAGCAGGGAAGCCGTCCCGCCCACTCTCTCTGCTAAGGAGACTGCGCGAAGTTGCTCCTTGGTCAAGGCCATAGAATGTAATTGATCCTTATTTTTGGAAGCAGCTGCAACCCGACTACGCTTGCGGTATTTAACATGATAAGGGGGATGTGCGCCATGGGAATGGTGCTCAAAACAGATTGCAAGATTGGTTCACCCAAACCGCCACTACAGTCATTCGAGAGCGGAGACGCCTATTTATTTAAGTTGCGTGGCAGAGGAAGTAAGACAGTATTTGCACATCTGGTCCAGTATTGAATGGTTATTCTGTTTAGCATGATCTTGCGAAATTAGGGGCGGGGGTCTACGAATATAGCGAGGTACTAGAATGACGGAATCTAAGTTCAAGGGAACCTTGGGACATGGGCTTTTTGCCACCAAATCCAGTATTTTCCACCAATCCGTGACAACCCAATCAGCGAAGACCCAATGCAATCGCTACAATTGTAAGCAAAGCTGTTCCTGTGAACTCTATCCGCACTGGGTAGCAGGTGGATGCAGGAGCTTGGAAACACGACAGCAATTACGAATACCGGCCGAGATAGCCGTATTGTCCAACCGTGGAAGCATCCGAGTGTTCCGGACCCGGCCACGTGCAATACTGCGGGGGAGGGGGGGCTTGGCAGCCCCCTGCTATCTGGTTTAGCTCAAATTATGTCTGATACTACAAAGATTTGTCAGCTTTATTAATCAGACTAAGGGCGCCAAGGAAGTAATAGCACACATGCCCCTGGGCCGCGTGTCGGATCCTGCTGTGTTGCAGTTTGAAGGGGGTTATATGCTGCACGCGCCCAGCCCCATCCCCATGAACTCCAAGGCGCCTGTGCCCCAAGATCTGGATGAGGTTGAGATCCAGTGCATCATCCGCAACTTCATCACTGGCACAAACAATGCCGTTCGCGCAGGCTTTGACGGCGTGGATATCCACAGCCTATCTTTATTTAATTGAGTCTCATGTCAGCAGGGAGTGAGTAATATGGCTTTCTGGGTATTTAGAGCAAGACTACTCCCTAAGGCTTTTAGACTAACATGTATAATTATCTCTAATATTATATAATATTGATGGGCATAGATTAGACATTGTCAGGTAATATAATGCATGCATATGTGGCGCCCTCGGATAAGTGTACTTATCAGCCACGTGTAGATATAACCAGAGAGAAAGAACCCTTTCTCCAGAAGACGAATCAGACTATACGAATCAACCAAGCCTTCAACTTATCATATCCAGCACATGAGATCAAGAGGTCTAGGAAAGATCATCAATTTTACGTAGGCACTGAGGCGACAGTCTCGGGTTGCGCATAATTCCGCTCGCAAGTATCAGCATAAACATCAAGCCCATCACCAATCACCTTCAGGAGCAACCACTGTTCATCCCCTCGGATTAGACGAGCCCAGAGCTTCGCCACGGCATAGCCAAGGTAAACACAGTCGGAGGGACTTGGGGGTCGCGACCACAGATCATCGTCTCCGGAGGTTCGTCCTTCTTCGACAATGTCGGTAATCCAGCTTACGAGGCGAGATTCGTGCTCTGTTTTAGACATATTAGCAAACGAATGCAAGTACACTTTTCTCGTTGTTTTGTAAATTGACTTCTGCTCTCGTGAACGAAAAAGAAAAGTCACATACCGTCCAGCGGCCTCCGGGTCTGGCAATCAGCGATACAGAACAGCCATTTGCTGAGGAATGATAGGAGTTGAATGAGCTTGATTTCGATGCTTTTCTGGTTTGAATTCAAAGTGCTCTTTAGTACCACTCTCCCTTGCTTGTTTGGAGACAATGGGGTAATTTGGAGGTGTCTTGGCATCATGGAGGCGACCCACTTGCAAGGCATCCAAAGCTTGGCATATCACAGAACGCGTTCTACACGTTTTTATACCCAATATCTGGCAGAAATATGTATGTATATTTATGACCTTTGGGTACTCCTGCTAATCACGTCACCCCGATCCTCTTCGATTGTTCTAGGACCCTATCTGACGAGCAGTATATACTATCGTTTGCATCATCGCTTTGTTGGAAGGCGTTACTGTCCAAAGCGATATCCCATTCGCGTGGGTCATTCTCGCCGTTCGAGTACGTCTAAGGTATAGGAGGCAATCTATGCCTAGAGATAAGCTACTCTTTGGACAGAATCCGTGATACCGAGCAGTTGTGCGACAAGATTACGAATTTTGTGAGGATGGTCTATGGGGGAGAAAGAAAGGAGGCTGATGTCTTCACCCCTATTTTGGCTTCTCTAGCCACTTCTGGCCACCGTGTGTGGGAAGTCCTGGATGCTGTGGTCTGGTTGGTGATGAGTTAGAGAGCAGCTTAGTGTTAACGCCTACACACTTCACAATCAGGTGGCAGAACTATGCTCTGGTTAACCTAAAGCCTGTCGGGCTTGCTTAACTTTGCTGGACCACCTGCAATATAAATCAAATAGAACAAGCACGGGCGAACACTAGAGGTCTGCTTTGTGTTATAAATGCAATAGAAGCAAGTTCTTATTCATGATGCGTGCAGAGCATATGTAAGCCCAATATCAAATGCCAACAAGTTCACTAAGATGTAACTCAAACAACAGCTACTCAAAGCAATTACTTGTTAATGACCCCTATTCAAGATCGTGGAAGACCCTGATGTCAAAGCCTACTCAATATGGTCCATTCAGAACCTCAGCTACAGGCTATGACTGAGCTTTGAAGCTTCTCAATACAAGACTAAAAAGAAAGGCCCGAATGTCCGCGAAATTTTGCATCAGGAACCACCCCCGATCGCGATTAGCCGAAACCTGCCTCGGTTGACCCCGCCTGGATGTGGAATACTTAATGAAAACAAGTCCGGAGCAATGAGCTTTATCAACTCCAGCTGACTAGAATTCTGCTACCATGAAGCTTCAGTTCACGGTTAAGTCTGTCTTCTGGGCGGCTGCTTTTGCCGTTACCACTCTGGCGGCCGCGTCGGAGGTGGCCGAAGCAACGCAATTTACACTGACGGTATACTTTTTGGTCTCATAAATGGGCGCATTGCTGGCAGACACGCCCCTATAGTATGGCTATGCTCTCCTGTCTTTTGCGCGGGCTGCCGTCGCAGTTCTCACTGAGGTCAGTTGCAGCAACCGCTTCCAGCATATGAGACAGCTCGCAACATCTGCCTCCCAAGCTGTCGTACGTTCTAACGTGGACACACTGTACTCGACAGCCGTTATTGACCTCTCCCACCGTGACGTCGTGGTAGATATTCCCGTCGTCAAGGACCGATACTGGGTCTTCCCGTTCTACGATGCGAACTATGCCAATCTGGGCAGCGCAGAGAACAGCAAAGCGGGCAAATACATTCTCCGTTTTAACGCCGACAGCAAGCAAAATCCCCGTATATAGCTGTGTGGTGACACGGAAACACGTGACGGCCTCCAGGGCTATGTCAATGCACCAAGATCATATGGGATCTCGGTGGTCCGATATGCTGTTAAAGACACCACGGGCGACCTACAGCAAATCCATGCTCTCCAGGACCATAGCGGCCTTCATACCGTCAAAAAGGGTGGTATAACTCCTCGTCGACCAACAGTCCCTACCCTGACAATGTCTATGCTCAATTCGTCGCTGTCTTCCGACCCAGCGATGATGATTATGCAACTGACGGCACGCATTGCGCCGCACAATCCTCTGCGCAACATCTCGGACCTGGCACGGGTCAACCACATGCTCAAAGAATCTGCGTCAAGGACGGGGTATATAAGCCCCAGAAAGGCCAGAACCTGACTGCAGCATACCTTGCCTCGGAGATGGCCATGTCCAGAGCAGCCAGTGGACCACAGAATTTGGGAGCGACAGGTTGTGATGGTTAAGATTTGTCATGATGACAGACTGAGCGCAAATAGATATTGCTGCTGGTCTAGGCTCTAATGATATTGTCAGAGTAAGCAGCGCTCATGTGTAACTTCATACCTGTTCAAAGTAGCTCCTGATGATCAGACCTGCAAAATAAAGAAAAATGGTTCTACTACAGAGACAATGCTTTTCCTATCCTGACTCCACCTGATTTGCGTGTCCAAGTCTCACTGGTCAGGAACTTGTCAACCATAAGACCACTCAAGTAAAGAAGGTGTCTGGACAACTATTCCGGGTGTAGTAGAAATAGTAGTGTATTAATGTGTTCAACAGAACTCCTCATGAGCACATAATTATTCAATGGTTTGTAACCGGTCTAGAACAAAAGGTTGAGGCTGAGCACCCCAGGTACGTCTTCAAAAGGTTAATGACTTGTATGACATCAAGGTGAGGTTCATAATCCCAGCTTAGATTGGGCCAAGATATAAACATAGGGGTTAGACATGATGTCAGGGACACTAAAAACTAGATAAGTCATACAATCCCTTCATTGCAATTTTCACACAAAGTTCAGCCGATGAAATCCTAACTGTCAAGACGAAGAAGCAGGAAATCAGCTCAACCAGAAGTTCTCAGTGGAATACACAATGTCCACCTCGATCACCGCACATGTCAGCAATTACGGGGAGAAATATGGCGACCCAAGCCATACAATGAAAGCCTTGACATGGCAAGGGAACCGTACAGTTAAAGTCGGTCAGTGATCTTCATTTCATTTTGAGCATCTCAAATAATTCGAGTCTCCTGCTAACGTATGGTGTGTTGTAGTGGAGACAGCCAGCCCAAAAATCATTGATCCAGGTGATGCCATAGTGAAGGTCACAGGCAGCACTATTTGTGGGAGTGACCTCCATCTGTACCACGGTATGTCGTGTGCTCTGCATAAAGTGTCACTGGATCTTCTGACGCGCTGTCCATGATCGACATTCAGGGGCCATTCCTGAGCTCCAGAAAGGTGATATCCTCGGCCATGAGTTCTGTGGCATTGTCGTTAGTGTGGGTCCGGGCGTCCAGAAGGTTAAAGTGGGCGATCGTGTTGTGGCGTCGTTCCAAATTGCCTGTGGACAGTGTTATTACTGCAAGCAGGGGTTGGCCACAATGTGTGAGCGGACCAATACGGGGGAGAGTGGCACTAAGCTGTATGGGAAACGAACATCTGGTGAGTTCTCTCCTGAAACAACCATGGTGATCTTGGTAAGTTTGTTATACTAAACTCTGACTCAGGCTTCTTTGGATACTCCCACTTCACCGGGGGCTTTGCTGGTGGGCAGGCGGAATATGTTCGCGTCCCTTATGGCGATGTGAACCTCCTTCAGCTGCCTGATGATGTTCCTGATGAAAAAGGGCTCTATCTTTCTGATGTTCTGGGAACATCTTGGAATGCCGTTGTCGACACTGGGGTTAAGCAGGGTGACACTGTGGCAATCTGGGGTGCTGGCCCAGTTGGACAAATGGCAGCTGAATTCAGCTTCTTCCATGGCGCTAAGAGGGTTATTCTCATTGACGGCGGCCAGGGAAAATGGCGACTAGACTTTATCAAGAAGATTCTACCCAAGCTGGAGACAATTGACTTTGCAAACCTCCCAAAGGGTGAATCGGTTCCCTCAACACTAAAGAAAATGTGCGACGGCCACGGACCTGATGTGGCAATTGAGTGTGCTGCTGGTGAGTATGAAAAAGGATGGGCCCATTACTTTCAGAGATTACTCGGCATGGAAACGGATACATCTGAACTGGTCAATGAAATGCTTATGTCTGTCCGTGGGTTTGGACACTGTGGTATCACAGGCGTATATGCTGGTTATGTATGTGGTACCGTTCCTATGGTGAAACTGTTTTACTGACGTTGCAATGCAGTGTAATCACTTCAACATCGGTGCCTTAATGGAGACTGGAATCAAGCTCCATGGCAATGGACAAGCTCCTGTACAAAAATACTGGAAAGAACTGTTGAAGTACATTCAGGAGGACAAGATCCACCCACTGGATATGGTCACCCACCGGTTCAAGCTCGAGGACATGGAGAGAGTCTATGATTTATTCGATAAGCGTGACCCGGGTATGCAGAAGGTTTTCATCCAGACAAAATTTTCCGCACCTCCATCACCAGGATCACCCCCATTAACAGTGCTCTGAGAATTACTTTATTGAGAAAATATGTACTAGCAAGTCTGGATGACTTACATGGGTCTTAGCCATTGTCGTCAAAACTGGGTACTTAAACTACACGGCCGTGAAAATATTTCTGTTCCAGCCAAATTGCAATAGAATCAAGATTGTTTAAATGATCCTCCTTAATTGAGGGAGCGGTGCACAAAACTCCCCTCTTCTGTTTATCATAAAAATGACATCTACGACAAGAACTCCGTGGAGAAACTTAAGATCAAATCACTCTTCCTAGTCTGGCCCAGTATATTAGGATAGAATAATTGCGTGCTTGTACTTGAGGCAACGTGATGACTCCTGGACCATGGAGCAATTCTCTCCTGCACTCCTAGAACTACTCTTCTTGAATCCCTGGCAGAATCAACATACCTTGAAAGACCAGGGCAGCTCGGTTCAGACAATTGCTACACTTTTAAGACAGACACCGGACATAATAATTTATGTATTTACTATAAAGAGTGGTGAAAGCTAGACCATTGAGAGCGTTATGAAGTACAGTGTGATCAGAGTGAGTGACTACTGCCAGTGGACCTCAAAACGACTAGCGCAAAGACATTGAAAATAATAGACAGAATAATTGACAAGATATGCCCCTGCTGCATAAATTAAGCGTCATGCAGAGACAGAGTCAAGTCCTGATCAATCACCTTTCCACCTTCCACTTGCACTTTTTCTATAGGCAGAAACACGAAGAAGATACGCAAAACACCAGAATTGTCATTCTTTTCAGTCAAATTCCGCCAGGAATGAGCTGTACCTCGCTGAACAATTACATCACCCCTTTTCAATATTTTTTTCTCTCCGGAATCAAGGACTAGTTCTGTAGTGCCGTCAATTATAACAGTATAGTCGAGAGTTGTTGTTCGGTGCATCGGAACTGCTGAACCCGGTGGTACCTCTATGATGATGCAGGATGTGCCGTTGGGCGGATTCAAAGGCATTGGCTGCGAGAGCTGGGACTGATAGTGCTTAATGTCGAGATTGGCTTTGGACTCTGGGGTTGTAGAACTTGGAGGGGAGAGCCCTTGCACAGGGAATACATTGGTATTGTAGGCCAGAGCATAGTTTGTCGCCGGTGGCTTGCCCGGTGGAACAGGGAACCCAGTGAATGATACCTGTTCACTAATGGCGTCGCTAAAGATAGCTCGGCCGCTTTTAGGATCATGGGTTGTTATGATTCGGCGAAGCATCTTATGTTGTCTTTGTTGAGCTCTGGCAGCTTCTCGCTGACTCTCATTGAGATCTGCAAGGAATGTGGTGGAAGCCAAGATCAAGAAGAATCATTCAACACTGTCTTACATCAAGACTGAGACATATTCCACAATTAATCTGAGCAATGTTTGCTACTTATATATTAACTTCATTACATATGCCATATGACTTAAATGGTAGGTCATTCTACAGTCAATCAGTCAATAATAGATAAGATGGGGATATTATGGTTACTTTCAATGACAGTTCTGGAACCGAACTATGCATAAAGTTAGGAAGAATGAACCACCAACCTTTACCATGGTCAGAGACCTAGGGAATGCTTTTCCTACATGGACAGGCATAGCCACCCTTTCATCTTAAGGTCATCATAGCCCCAACTAAAAAATATTACTTCATGTGCATGTCATGAATGAAGACATGCCAATTATGATGCCTCTCCCACGAGGATAAAGATCAACTTTTAATGCAAGATGCCTAGCATCTCGCCAATCCAGACCCGTACAGTAGGGCATTGGATAGATTTTCCCAGCTATCTCGGCCAGCGTACATGGCGAGTTCTCCTGCGATTCGCAATCCTTTAAAAACTACTTTGTAAGCAGCTGAAGGATTAAAGGATCAAAGGATCGAAGCATTGAAGGGTCAAAGCATCAAAGCATAAAAGGATCAGTCTTCCAACAATGGCAATACCAATAACCCGGCACTGTACTGTCTATATATGAATCACCACTGTATAAATACTCTTACCGTCACGGATTTTGATCAATTTATTCAAATCTCCTACTTTCTTACAAGTCCTAACAAGTAACTCAATTTCTCATAAGTCCTAACAACTGATTTTTAGCTCTTTAATATCAAGATGAAACTGACTTCCACTATTGCCTTTTTCTCTATAATATCAGTTGCCTTTGGCTGGTGGCTGTGATACTCTAACCCTACCCTGTTATCCTTATACTACTTATATATGGAAAACACTAGCTAGCAAACTAATAACTTATATAATTGTCATGGTAAACGTGGACATACAATACATGGCCGATTTCCGAGCGGAAAAGGTGTCAAGATCTTTTACCTCTTACGTCGCTAAAGGACTTATTCTCCGTTTCGAT